ATTTGCCAAGGCATCAAAAATCAGATGGGCTGGACACATAAAGAGGTTTACAGACAACCGCTGGACTAGAGCCATTACTGACTGGATTCCTCGGGACATCAAAAGATCGCATGGACGCCCACCTACAAGATGGTCAGACTTCTTCGTCAAGACCCTGAGTGATCGGTTTGAGGCTCTGCATGTTCCTAGAATGAACAGATTCCATTGGGCTATGCTAGCACGCAACAGGGATGAATGGAGACATTACTGGCACCAGCTTGAGTAAATCGATGAATAACAGGGGATCAAGTGATCAAGTGATCTCCCATTTTAGAATCTAATGATAAACATAGAACATAGAGAAGCTAATGCAGATAAGAAAGGTCTAGAGAACTAATATATTTTAGGTTCACTCTATCGAAATTCAGGCAGAGTGGTGTGGTGGTGGACAAAAGAATTATTTCAGTGATTGTTCCGCTAATCTGGGAACCCTTCTCATTTTTCGGGCTTTATCTGCATTTTAGAATCTAATGATAAACATAGAACATAGAGACGCTAATGCAGATAAGAAAGGTTTTTAAACTGGAGCCGAGTGCTAGTATATCAGGTCGGGTACTTGCCTCACACATGGTTGACTTGGTTTCATCCCTGGATCTTCTACCTGGTCCCCTGAGGCCCATGATGAGTGATCCCTGAGCACAAAGTGAGGAGTAGGCCTGAGCATAGCCAGGTGTGCTCCCCAAATAAACAAAGAACAAAAAAACAAAACAACAAACAAAAAAATCTGTAAATATATTTTCATTCATAAATGTTAGAGATGATTGAGAAGAAACAGCTTTCTAGAGATCAGGCATGTCAGGAAATAAGAAACTTGGAAGTCTGAGATTTCCAGTAAAAGGCCCTCCCGTTGATCATCGATTTGCTCGAGCGGGCCCAGTAATGTCTCCATTGGAGACTTTGTTGTTAGTGTGTTTGGCATATCGAATACGTCATGGGGAGCTTGCCAGGCTCTGCCGTGTGGGCGAGATACTCTCGGTAGCTTGCCGGGATCTCCGAGAGGGCGGAGGAATCGAACTTGGGTCGGCCATGTTGGCTGCGTGCAAGGCAAATGCCCTACCGCTGTGCTATTGCTCCAGCCCAGTCTGAGATTTCCAGTAGATAGATGGTTATTTCTTCTAACACAGGAGGAAAGGCAATAGAAAGCAGATTGTGACATTCAGGGAAAGTGGCAATAATATCAAGGAAATTCATGTGAAACAATTCATCAAAGAAATAGGACTATAGGAAAGACTCATTTTGATCTATAATCTTAAAATGCTTTCAGACATAAGAACAAAAATAATGGAAAAAACAAAACAGAACAGAATAAAAAAAACCCCACTGGTTGGCCAATCTTGCAACACCGTTTTGGATATTCATCCATTCAACAAATATTGAAAACCTGTTAGCAGTTATCATAGTCACTAGTTGCATGGGCATATTTTGTTTTGCTTTTCTGTGGAACGTCCGCAGAGATCAAGACCAGATTCTGTGAGTGGAAGTCATTGGAAGATATTTGATGTGGTTCCAGCTAGAGTGGAATGGAAAGACAAGAGTGTTGACACTCTTTGGGATGGTCTTAGTCAACATGAAGCCACTGAGACATTTTAGCAGAGTTTATTAAAAACTTTCAAAGTAATACATGCACAGGATAAAAAAATGAAATAGTACAGAAGGATTTAAAAGGAAAAAAACAAGATTTCTGACCCCATCCTTTTAAACTCTAGTCTTATCTCTAGAAGCAAGATGGTTTATTTTTCTTTTAAAAATTTTTATTTTTCAGATTTTCTGGTAAATGACTTCCTAGCATTAAATAATGTTTGAACAATAATTTCTTGACTTACTAACTTCAGACAATTTTTAACAATTCCCCCATTACAAAAGATAAGAATTTAGCTACCCCTAGCTTTCCATATGCTCTTGGTGTGACTTTTTTAATGCTTCCATTGGTTTAATTTATCATTTTGGAAAGTACACTTTTTCAAGTGTACTTTTTCACTTGAAAAAGTGATACAAAGTCTCATTACTGTAGACTTTGCTTTTGATTCCTACTTCATGTTTATATAAATTCACCCTACTCTTCCTTCTCTCTCATCTCTACAGAGTCTCAACATCTTTCTGTTCTTCTCCCTTAATTTGTCAGGATTCATTTTGATCTTTTCTGAATAAACTAATTCTTTCATAATTTGCGTCTAGGCTGATCATACAGAACACAGAGTACCATCTTCATTATTGTGTCCATGTAAATATTGTTTACTGAGAGCTAAGCAAAATTTTATCATACACACCCAATGTCGTGATGCCTGTACCACTGAAAAAGAAATATACCCACCACTAATGTTAAATGGAGACTTTTTACAATATATGGATATTTTGTTGCTGCCTCATGGGTATGAATTTCTTGATTTCTTATTGTTCTGTTTTATTTTTTGTTGACTAAAGAATGCTTATTCTCTATATTCTCAAACACTCCAGCTTCTCAATGGTACTATCTATGATACTCAAGGTAGATTTTTCCCTGACAGCCTCAGACTTACATTCTTAACTGAAACAGGTGTGCTTCATACCCATCACTCCAGTGGAGGTATCTTATGGAACAACTATCACTCCAGACTGAAGAATCCTGGCAGGTAGGTAACTCACTCTAATGATGCATCCTGTCAATTAACAGTCATTTGAATGAGGTATCGTGGTGGGTCATCACTCCAGAGTGAATCACCCTCTTTGAAAACTGTGATTCTTGAGTGTGGTGTCTGTTGGATACCCATCCCAATAGGGTGAGGTATCCTTTTGTAATTTCCATTTAGGAGTTGTGTCCTGTTGGATACCACCAATCTGGGAGTGCACTGTTGTTAATTGTTATCCAGTAGTGATGTCCTGCTGGTAACTGTCACTCTGGAGTGAGGTGTCATGTTGGATTATCATTACTCTAGAGTGAGGTATTCATCAGGGATAACCTACACTGGAGTGAGGTGTTCTGTGGAAATAACTGCAACTCTAAAGTGAGGTGTCCTGTTGATAATCATCACTCTGGAGTGAGGTCTATCTTGTGGGTAACCATTACTCTAGAGTGAGATGTACTGGGGAGTAATTCTTACTCAGGACGCGTTCTGTGGGGATAATTATTACTGTAGAATGAGGTGTTCTGTGGAAATAACTGCCAATCTGAAAGGCAATGCCTTGTCGGTAAATGTCACTCTAAGGTGAGGTGTTCTGCTGGATAACCATTACTCAAGTGTGATGCCTCTTTGTTGGTAACTGTCACTCTGGAGTGAGGTGTTCTGTGAAGGTAACTGTTACTCTGCAGTAAAGTGTCCTCTTGGTAACTATCACTCTGGAGTGAGGTATTTTGTGTGGGTAACTGTTACTTTGTAGTGAGGCAACCTTTTGCTATCACTCTGAAGTGTCCTGTTGATAACCCACTCTGGAATGAGATGTCTTGTTGGTAACTGTCACTGTAGAGTGAGATGTCTTGTTGTTACTCACTGTGGAGATGTCCTTTTGGGTGACTGTCACTCTGAAATGAGGTATTCTGTTGGTAGCTGTCACTGTGGAGTGAGGTATCCTGGTGGTAAGTGTCACTTTGGAGTGAGGTATCTTGTTGGTAACTGTCACTCTGGAGCAAGGTATCTTGATGGTAACCATTACTTTGGAGTGAGGTATTCTGTTGGTAACTGTCACTCTCAAGTGTCCTGTTGGTGACTATTTTTCTGGAGTGAGGTGTTCTGTGGGGGTAACTGTTGGGTATTCTGTGTGGAAATTGTTACTCTAGAGTGAGGTATTCTGTGGGGAAACTCTTAGTCTGGAGTGAGGTATTCTTTGGGAATAAACATTATTCTGGAGTGAGGCATCCTGCTGGAGAGCTGTGAATCTAGAGTTATATCTAATGGGTGAGAGTCCCTGGCTCTTTTTCTGGATTCCATGCCTTTCCTCTTGGACTTCCATTATTTTTCTATTTCACTTCTGGGGTTCCATTTCAGTTTTGCTAGAGAACTTCCTCAAGGTACCCACTCATTAGGGGTTCAGAGGGGGAGAGACTTTGAAAACTTACATATCAGAAAATGTCTTCCTTTTTAGGCGACTCTAAGGGTTGGAAGTCTAGGAATGGTGGGGGAAAATACTTTCCATTTCTGAAGACGTTGCTTCACTGATTTCTCACCTTCAGTGGCCCTGATGAAAAATCTGCCAGTTCCTCATCCCTTGTTTATTGTACTAATTATAAAAAACTAAATTTAATTTCTCTCCAGGCACTTTTAATGTCTTCCCTCCTTTCCCAATATTCCACAGTCACAAGATTTGTACAGATCTAAGTAGAATGGGGGTCACCTCAATCTGAAGACTGTTCTGTTCATCAATTCTTTCCTTTTTTCATTCGTTTTTACTTCCAAAAGTTCCAGCAGTTAGATACTGACTCTGTCTCTTTCCTTTATTCATGCTTTCTGCTCTGCTCTTTCTTTTGGGCTCTGTATCTGTGAGTATTATTTTTCTCTTCCAGTCTACCATGTTTGAGAGTCTTATTTTAATTTCAAAAGGACTTTGAAAAAATTCTTTTATTTTCCCTGTATTTTCACCTTATAAAAATACCCCAGATCTTTCTGCAGCTAAAATTTCTAAGTTACTTATTTTTTTTCCAAAAATTTTCTTCCAGGTGTGCGTGTGTGCATTTAATTTCAAATCTCCTAACTCAAATTGGTTATTTTCCTTACATTCTCTCACTTGATTCTCCCTCCTTCTGACTCCCCTTTCTCTGCTCAATGTCTGGGAATTCCTGGCTGGCATTGAGGAATCAATATAACTGTTGACTTTTCTAGGAGTTGGCATGGGTTTTCTGCTGCCCTTACCAATTGGGTTTCAAGCCTTCTTTCTACTAAGACTCTGGAAGCACTTAGGCACTAGAGAAGGAGTGAGGATGGGATGAGTCTCATTCTAATTCTAATTAGAGAATTTGCTAATAGGCTAAGGGGTTATTTATTTGCACTAAAAAAAAGAAAGAAAGAAAGATTTTTATTCTGGAGCACCAACTCCTACCTCTCCTCAGGCAGTTTATTCAGTTCCTTTATACAAACAACAACAGCAAAAAACACCATGACAATAACAGTGACAAGGGACTTGAAACCGGTAGCAATACACTGCCTGTGTTCTGAGCACGAAAGTGGGGTCGAGGGGTTCAGTGGGGTTCAGCTTCACAACTCATTTGACTCGCTAACAGATAAGCCTCTTCGCGTGCCCAGGTCTCTTGGGGGTCGTGTGATTCGGATCAGCTTATGTCCTGCCTGGAAGATGCTTTCCCGCGTGTCCACTATCCTGCTCCGGCTGGCCTGGGTTGAGTTCTTCTTCGCTTAGAACCAAATCTTCTCTGTTTGCTTGGCTGAGAGGTGTCAGTTGGCTTTTGCATGTCTTGACTTCAATTTCAGTGGGGCCTGGGGAGGGAGGGGAGGTAAACTTATATGTTCAGTTCATCATCTTAAGTTCCAAGTCCCGCTTGAGGCTTGCACACAGGGCACTGACCTGGATTAGCTTTCCAGTTTTTAAAGGTCCCCCTAGGGCGATGAGAATGGAATCGAGAGGGAGGGGATGGATGAGAATCTAATAAGCTTGCTGAAAACATGCAGAGTCTGGGACTTCCGGGGTGTGAGTTTTTTACCGAAGGGACCCATCATTTTGAAACCCAGTAAGCTAGTGAACTAGAAAGACTGAAATCCCAACAGCCCAGAAGTTGAGCCTTTGAATGATGATAAAGGGGTCATCCCAGCTCTAACTAGTAGGGAACACCTCAGACATTCCCTTTAAACCGGCACCCGGGATGATCAGAGGGACTGTTTGTTCTAATGAAATCAGATGAGGAACCAGTATAGGAGGCCAGAGCAACAGGAGGTGAGTGAGGACAGACAGATCCTACGGCTGGATGGCTGGGTCTGTCATATACTCTTTTCACTTGGGTGTTCAAAGAACTGCGGTTGTTAACACCCATTCTGCAACCAGGAGGCCTGTTTCAGACTAGATCCATCTCGTATTAGCACTGTAGCTGGGGCAATTTACCGCTGCTCATCTCATCTGTTCTGCTCATACCTGACAGGGAGCAATGAGTTTCCATCTTCTAAGATTATTGTGAAGATTAACTGAGACCATCGCTAGCAGAGACTTTGCCAAGACTCCACAACTCACTTCCTGCCCGTTGTTATTTTCCAAGGTGACTGAAAAGTCAACTTCTACATTCAAAGCAATAGATGACATAGTCATGAGATAAGGGGAAATAATTCCCTTTTTATTATTCAATTTTTTAAAAAATCATATTAATGATGGAGAAATAATAAAGGCATCCAAAGAAAATCACAATTTATGTCAAGTGCTTGAGTCTACCAAAACTCCCCCAAAGCAGAGAGAACTGTAAAACAATGAAATAAATAGAAGTGAGCCAAAGAAAAGCTGTCTAGATTAATGAACTAACTTTAATTATAGACCCTCAATTATAGTTAAAGCTACAAAGTAATGAGAGGTTCTGAATAAGATCAGAGGAAATTTCAGAAAATCTTTATATGTTTTGTTTAAAAAAAAAAGGAAATTTGCATCAATTGTGCTGAGTTATCTTGTTCTAAAAGAAAGATTTCTCTCTCGGTGCACTTTCCTGCTTGGGGGCCACACCTAGGGATGCTCTGGGCTTATTCCTGGCTCTGCAGTCTGGGCTAACTCTTGGTGGGGTCGGAGGACCATATGGGACACTGGAAATTGAACCCAGGTTGGCTGCCTGCCAGGCAAATGCCCTACCCGTTCTACTATCACCCCTGTCTGCACTTTATCTGCCAAAGTGGTAACTCCGGACAGTGATTGGAACCTGTCTCAACTGTGGAAACATAAGCACCTGCCCCAGGCCCTGAGCCAGAAGTCCATTGTTGGTTAAAGACAAACATTGTCCTGGTTTTTCAAGAGCTTTACTTCCAGGCTTCGTTTATTCAAAGGCAGGATATTGTTTTTCTTGCTTGAGAGACAGAACTGAATAAAGAGGCTGATCCTCAAGCAACACTGAAAACCCCATTGTGATTTTTAAATTCATAAAACATTGTACCACAGTCTTTTCAGGGTCTGGCAGACCAAGCACAGGACGGAAGAGAAATAATTATACTGCATCTGTACATGCCAGCTGAAGGTGAAGCCTTGTTTTAAAATGAGTGAATTGAAAAATGAGTGAGTTAGGTAAAGAACAGTGGTGGTCGATATTTCTCTCTCTCCCTCCCTCCCTCTCTGCCTCCCTCTCTCTCTTTTTCATTCATTTCCCTCCTCCTAATCATTGCTAGGTTCTTTTCAAATCGCCTTTCAAAGGACTACCATCGGATCTTCACAATAATCCTACAAAATAGATCCCATTTTCGAGATGAGAAAGGGCAGGAATTTGCCTGGAATCACACAGCTAGCCACGAAGAAGGCCACACTCGCTACTCCAGAGCTCGGCCTAGGTATGGCCCTTCCTAGCAGCTCCTGGAGAAAACGCCTCACATCACCGGGGCACTGGCTGGTGCTCCTGGCGCATTCGGGTCTGCGCTGGGTTCTAAGGGAGCCTTGGGGGAGCACTGATCAGAAATACAAGCCCAGAGAGACCCCAGGATGTCAGGAGGAGGGGGCTCCCTTTGGGGACCCAGTCCAGGAGGTGACACTCTCAGAACAAGGCCTGGAAACAGGCAAGGACCGAAATCTGAGAGCAGAGACACGAGCCTTGCAAGTCCCAAGACCTTGCTTCTGCAAAGCTCCGATTCCACCTCTCTGTGTGCTCTGAGCCTACTTCCTCCAGACAGAACTGGGGGTGCGGATCAGGGGGGATCAGGGGGTTACGGGGCTAATGGGAGCAGAAGACCAGGCTCGCGCTCTGAGTGACAGAGGTGGCGGAGCGAAGGCCCATTCTCTGCCTGCCTCCCGGGACCTCTCTAACCTGCCACCTCGCTGGGCACTCCTTACATCTGTGTGAGGAGGTACAGTTTCATTATATTTTCCTTCCACTCAGGTAGGTAGGCCAGGCTGGTTGCCACTTCCTTCTGGATGGGCCAGGCCCAGGCCTCAAAGAACGGCGCCAGGTTCTTCTGCACTTGGTGAGAGAACATCTTCACCCACAGGTTCATTTTGTCAACGTTGTCTGTGGGCAGGTTGGTCTGGTTGCGGTACTCGGTGAAGAGGCGGATAAAAGGCTCCCACCCAAAGGCCTCCTGGAGCTGGAAGGAGAAATCAGCGGGGGTGAGACCCTGTCTCGACAGGAAGCCCCCACGGGTGGCACACCGAGGCCATCCCTTGCACATGGCTCGGATCTCTTTCGCTGACCCGCTCTCCCACTGGGCCCGACGGCCTCACTCTCTCCTGTGCCAAGCAAGGTCGGGAGCAGGTGACAAGCTCTACTTAGACCCAGAGCACCGGAAATAGCTGGGGGTGGAGTAGTTACTACCAGGTCCTGATTCCTACACCGGATGGCAATGCCAAGGTATGACATTAGGGTATCAAATGGCCTCAAATGGAAGCATTAGTCTTCTAACAGACTTTATTGCATCTTTTGGGCCCTCCAGAGTGCTGGGGGTTGACCAGAAGCATGAGACGCCTGGGATGAAACTCGGGAGCCTGCATGCACTCTGACCACGGGGGCCATCTCCTAGGTATCTACAGTAGAGCAAGATTATAATCTCCCACCTCCAACCCGAAGCACTCGAATCCTCATGAAACACAAGTCTGAATCTACTTCCGAGGGACTGGAATGGCCTCTGAGAGAAAGCAAGTCTCACAGAAGTGGTAGCCAGACAAAAGCGCTAATGAGTCACTTGAGAAAAAGGCCAGTCCCTTGGCAAGAGCCCATGCCAGGCTGAGCCATGGTACTTCTGAGTACGAAGAAAGAGGGGTGCTAGCCAGAGGACCCCCCATGCTAGTTCACAAATGAGGACCCTCTATTCAGGGGCAGAGGGGCCCTCATGATAAGGCGGAAGTCAAACTTCCCATCTTAAGCTTCGCTGCCAAATTCTGGACAGTGGGGAGAGATACTTGAGCACATGGAATAGCGTGTGGCTGGCCTAGGACTGAGTTCCAGAATTCGAGGGTATGAAACGCTCCACCAGTAAGCTGGGAACCAATCCAGGGCCTGGGAGGGAAGGGAAGTGGCGCTCTGAGCAGTAACTCCAGGGTCATGACAGGAAGTAATTCTGGATCCCCTCTACGGTGGAAAGAGAAGCAGGGTGGAGGGCTAAGAGGAGAATGGTCCACTCACCTTGGGAAGGGAGACATCACTTTCCACCCTGTATGTCTATGTGTGCGTGGGGGAATGCTTAGTGTATTTTGTTTGATTTCTTGGCCACACCTGACGGTGCTCAAGGTTTGTTTCTGCCTCTGCACTCTGTGATCACTCCTGGCAATGCTCAGGGGACCTTATGGGGTGCCGGGATGGAAGCTGGGCTGGCTGTGGGCAAGGCAAACGCCCTTCCTGCTGTGCGATCTCTCAGGCCCTAGGAATGCTCAGTTTTGGGCAACTGGTTATCAGTTTGGTTGTGTCCCGGACGTGGCTGGGTTCAAGGCCAGTGCCAGAGGTCACACTGATGGGGCCCCACTTGTGTCCAACACTTGGAAGCTCCCGTGGTGCTTCCTCTCCTGTTCTCAGGGGTCTTCTCAAAGCATCTGGTGGGGAGTTCAGCGGGGCACCAGGACAACCGAATCCACTTCAGGGTGGTGCAAAGTGGGGGGGCCCCCGGAAGTGAGGCGTCACTGGAAGTGGGGGTGCCACTGGAAGTGAGGCGCCACCAGGAGTGGGGCAGCACCGGAAGTGAGGCGCTACAGGCAGGAAGTGAGTCATTTGGGGTCACCCTGGGCCTGGCTCCCGGGGACCCTTCCCTCCCGCCGTACCTGCAGGTAGGTCTCCAGTGCTGTCCACGCATTCCAGTTCTTCACGTTGGGGCCCTTGCTCAGGTAGATGCGGACTCTCTTCTCCCGCACCGGGGGCCACAGGGCAATGTTGGCACGGCTCCGGGGGATGCCCAGCACCGTCTCGTGCACGTACACGCACCAAAGGTTGCAGGTGGCCTCGGTGGTGTGCGGGGGGAACTCCCACTCCTGCCGCTGCTGGTTGCGCCCCAGCTCGTGCACCGGCCCCCACAGCCCCTTGGTCCGGATGAGCTTCTCGTTGATGAGCTCCTGCACCGACTCCAGGTGACACATGATTGGGTACCCTGCGTGCATCCAGCCTGCAGAGGGGGCGCGGGCGGGAGGGGGAATGGGAGACTGGGCCGGGCTACCCCTCCAGTCCTTGTGCTTTCCTGTTGGCCTGCACAGTCCCTGCAGCCCCGTGTCCCCATATACCCTTTTCCCTATGAAACCCCTGCACCGACGCAGCATTTTTTACGTGATTTGTGGATTGGGACTCACACTCTGCCGTGCACAGGGCTCGCTCCTGCTGGAGCTCAGGGGTGATAGGGGGGTCCTGCTGCAGGCATGCAAAGCAGGGCCTCGGGCCCTGAACTCTACCTCCCTCCTCTGCCTCTTCCCCCCTCACACACTGCCGTAAGCTCAGTTTCTGAGTGCGCTGGACTAGAAAGAGTTGCCCAAAGTTATGCTAAGCCAGTAACCAGGTGATCTGGGGATACAGTTTCAAACGTGGGGCTCTACATAGACCTGAATTCCTGACCACTGTGCTATTTCCCTGGCCCCTCTTTTAATTATTTTTTTTAATGCCATACACAGTTGTGCCCAAGGCTTACTTCTGACTCTGTGGTCAGCGATCACCCCTGGAGGGGTTTGGGGGACCATTTGCTGTGCCAGGGATGAAACATAGGCCAGCCGAGTGAATACTAAGTAGCTGACCCACTGCACAATCTCACAATTCATTCACACACACAAACCACGCACTCTGGACTGGAGAGAGTCCAGTGGGCAAGGTGGCACCACTGTTGGATTCCTGAGCACTGTCAGGAGTGAGCCCTGAGCACAGAGCCAGGAGTAAGCCCTGAGCACCACGGGTGTGACTCGGAAGCCAAAGAATACAACTGAAAGGCACACATGCGCTCTACCCTTCTCTTGTTGGTTTTTGGTTGTGTCTCAGGGGCACTGCTGAGTCTATTTCTCGAATCCCCTTTAAGTAGTGAGGACGGCCGCTTCCTTGTGGCCCCCGCTGGCTGCCCACGGGCATGCGTGGCTGCGGGCAGGAAGGGAGTCCCCTCCTTTCCACCCCCCTACCCCGGTACCCACCGACTGAGATCTGCACGTCGGCCACGATCCTCTGGGGCAGGCGCAGCGGGAAGGGTTCGGCCCCCAGGCGTGCCACGGCCTGCATCACCTCGTCCCACAGACGCAGCAGGGCCTCCGGGTTCTCCACCGTGCGGAGGTTGGCCGTGGGCACCGTCAGGATGATGTTGTCCGTGGCCAGCTCCCCCCAAGGGCCTGGGTGCTCCTGGAGCCGTCGCTTCCACTCCTCTTGCGTTGTCTCCCCTGGGGACACAGGCCGGGACGCCTGAGGCTCACTGTCCATCTCACACCCTCGCGCGGACATGGGGACACGGAACCCCGGTCACGAGCCAGTTGCCTCCCTCTCTGGTCAGCCTCTCTCTCTCTCTCTCTCTCTCTCTCTCTCTCTCTCTCCTGCCTGTGAGGGAGCTTTGCTTCTTGTCCCCCCATCCAGTTCGTTCTTCCCACACCCCCAAGCCCAACCCTAGCCCCCCTGCCCCTTGACTCCCATTCTCCTTTCCATGGGGACCTCCTCGGGCCGCCACTCACCCAGCTTGTAGAAGGGCGCGTGCACGGCGCCCTTGACGGTGATGGGCACAGAGCCCAGCTTGCTGCTCTGAGGCACGATGATGTAGAGGAGGCCGCCCCACAGGCACGTGATGGACTTGGAGGGCTTGTCCAGGCAGCAGCGGTTGATGACCAGCGGGCCCCGGAACAGCTTGCTGGCCCTGGTCAGGTCATCGGTGTGGCAGCCGATCTGCACCTGGTGCACAGAGATGCCCCCGCCAGAGTTACCTCGGGGGTGTGGGGATGGAGGTTGGGGGTTGCAAGGTGAGGCAGGAGGGTTCGTGGGGCTGGGGCCCCATGTGTGGCCGGCCCTCCTGCCAAACATGTATGCAGCACCCCGAGAAGCTGTGTCCTTCAAGGTGCAGGGACCGAGGCGGGTGTCACATCCCGGTCCCCCCATACCAGCAGAGATGCGGCTCCTCCCAGGACCAGGGGGCGTTGCTGATAGGAGGGGCACCGGCTGGGACCCTTGAGGCATGCGTGTCAGACGGGAGCCCAGGCTGTCTCCTGCATGGCATTGGTCATTCTGACCCTGCCTTTTGCTAATGGACACGGGGCAGTGGGCAGAGTTGTATCCTCTGGGGCTCCAGCAGCAAAGTCTACACGGGAGGGTGGGGCAGGCACTGTCCTGCATGTGGGTTGGCGCCCTTAGCTGTCCCCGCACACCTCGAGAGCAGCAGAGCAAGATGGCAACTTGATTTTCTCAACCGTGTGTGTGTGCTCGTGTGTGTATGCACGCTTGTGTGTGCTCCTTTGCTTGCATGTACACGCACGTGTGTTTGTGCATGCTCGTGTGTGTTTGTGTGTGTGCTTGTATGTGTATGTGCATGCATGTGTGTGTGTATGTGTGTGAGTATGTGCGTGTGAGTGTGATGTAATGCGGGTGGACCGGGCAGGCAAGAAAGTCTGGTTCACAGGAAGAGGGAGATTCCGAAAGACCTGGTAAGGCAGAGGGAGCAGTGATGGATGGGAAAGGAACTGAGGTGGTCTCAGGGCACCATGTGCCAAGGGTCTGCCCTCTACTTCCTTTCTTTTCTCCTTTTTGTTTTGTGTGTGTATGTGGTGTGTGTGTGTGTGTGTGTGTGTGTGTGTGTGTGTGTGTGTGTGTGTAGAGTTTGGGCCACACTTAGCAGTGCTCAAGGCTTACTCTTGGTTTCACACTCAGGAGTCACTCCTGGTGGGGCTCAGGAGACCCAATAAGGTGCGGGGAAGGAACTCTGGCCTGCTGCGGACAAGACAAGTGCCCCCCGCCCCCAGCCCCTCAATCTCTCTGGGCCCCTCTGCTTTCTTTCTTAATCCTTCCTTCCTTCCTTCCTTCCTTCCTTCCTTCCTTCCTTCCTTTCTTTTGCATTTTGGGTCACACCCGGCAATACACAGGAGTTCCTCCTGACTCTGCACTCAGGAGTTACTCCTGGTGGTGCTCAGGGGACCATATGGGATGCTGGGAATCGAACCCAGGTCGGCCGCATGCAAGGCAAACACCCTACCTGCTGTGCTATCACTCCAGCCCTTCTTTCTTAATCCTTTACTAGATGGTAAAGTACCACACACAAAACCTGAATCAGAAGGAGGGCTGTGTCGCCCTGGCACCTGAAATGCATCATATATATATATATATATATATATATATATATTTTTTTTTTTTTTTACATTAAAATCAATCAGTTGGGCTTTTTGGCATGTTAAAAACTCTCTCTCTTCTTGGTGGTGGAAAATGTGCACTGGTGAAGGGACGGGTGTTTGATCATTGTATGACTGACCGAGACTTACACTGAAAGGCTTTGTGACTATTCTCACGGTAATTCAACAAATAAAACTTTAAAAAAGAAACTCTCTCTCTCTCTCTCTCTCTCTCTCTCTGTGTCTGTCTCTCTCCCCTCCTCTCCCTCTTTCTGTCTGTCTGTTTCTCCCTCTCCCTCTCTTTCTCTCCCTCCCTCCCTCCCTCTCCTTTTGGGCACTGTGATCCGATTAAAAAAAAATCTAAAAAAAAAAAGAGGGGTGTGTGTCAGAGTCCAAAGGGCTGTCCTTAAGTTGGGCGCCCCTGAGTGGCAGCGGTGGCATTACCTTTAGATCCGCGGACGCCGCAGCCTCGGGCAGGGAGACCTCAATGACCTGCCTCCCGGGGATGTAGAGCCCGGTGCTCATCCAGCAATACCTGGTGCCTGCCGGGGACAGCACAAGAAGGGCAGCGTTCATCCCAGCCCCCAACTCCACCCCACCCAGGCCTTCCCCCCTTCCTTCCTCCACCCTCCACCCAGCTCTTCCAAACCTCAGGCCCCATCTCCTGGGGATGAAAGAAACCAGCCAGGGTTGCAGCTAGCACTTGGGACAGCAGTGGGCAGATGCCATCACGTCCTGTCCCCGTCACCCTCCACACATAGGTTTTCTTTTTGGGGGGGGGGCGTGGGTGGGAAGGCGATCTCTTCCGCACCCTCCCGCCCCTACCTGGGTTGTTGCAGTTGACGTCCACGGTGATGGGCGTTTCTGAGGGTCGCAGGTAGAGGCTGCTGTACATATCTTCGATCTCGGGCACCAAGAGGGCCAGGTCGCTGCCCGAGTGGGCCAGCCCGGTGGCCAGGGACAGCATGGCACCCCGGCAGCAATCATTGATCACGGGGTTCTCGCGCGTGGCCACCGGCAGCCGGTAGCGGCTCAGCAGCTTGCGGAGAAGCCGGTGCACGGACATGTAGGCCGGGACGTCGTCGGCGGGGATCTGCAGGAAGGCGGCACCGTCGGGGCCCAGCTTGGCCAACCAGCCCTTCTCCACGTTCCCACGCTTGCGGCCCATGATGACCTGGAACTCGGCCAGCGTGGAGCGGAAGTGGTAGGTCCGGATCCCGGCCTTGGGGGTGCGAAAGGGGCCCGGGTTGAGGCTCTGGCTGGTGATGCTGATGCCAAAGGGGTTGAGCAACAGGTTGCCGGGGAACCGGGCCAGCGGGGACACGCCCGGGTTCTTGAAGGCCCACCACCAGGCCTGGGCGCCCACGAACAGGCCCCCGCCCTCGGCCACGAACTCCTGCAGCTCCTTGACCCCCACGTCGCTCATGGGCTCGAAGCAGTAGACGCTGGCATCGCTGGTGAGGTTCGGCTCGATGCTGGCCTCCACGCCGCCCACGGCCAGCAAGCTGCTCAGGGCCCGCAGCTCCGTCTGCACTACGATCTTGCCCCGGCGACCCCCGTCCAGCCAGCGCACGGCGTTGAGCAGGAAGGGGCCCAGCTTGCTGACGGTGAACAGGACCTTGTGGCCGGTCACCACCACCCGGCCCCGGCCGTAGCGGGCGGCCGCGATGACACAGCCGTGGTAGGAATCCAAGCCCAGCGGGAAGGCCAAGGCCCCGTGCACCAGCAGCTGCGACGGGAAGCAGTCCGAGTTGGTGATGTCCAGCTCCGAGATGCCGTGCAGGAGCTCCGCTCTGTCCTCCGAGAGGTCATCCTCACAGCTGCAAGAGGGAGGGTGTGGTCAGTTAGAAGGGTGAACCCCCCTCCCCCCATTACCTCACACATGCACGTGTGTTAGGATCGCACCAGGCACAGCGCCAGTGTCCACTTGACAAACACTGCTGGGCCTTGTCCCCTACCTGGCAAACTGCCTGGACATACCAGTGCCCGAATTTCCTTGTCAACAACTCTATTGGGGTGGCTGGAGTGATAGCACAGTGGGTAGGGCGTTTGCCTTGCACACAGTGGACCCAGGTTTGATTCCCAGCATCCTATATGGTCCCCTGATTACCGTGGGGAGTAACTCCTGAGTGCATGAGCCAGGAGTAACCCCTGTGCATTGCCAGGTGTGACCCAAAAAGCAAAATAAGTAAATAAATTAAAACAAAACAAAAAACCCAACTCTATTAGGGGCTGGAGCGATAGTACAGCGGATAGGGTGTTTGCCATGCACGCGGCTGACTTGGGGTCAATCCTCGGCATCCCATAGGGTGCCCCATGCACTGCCAGGACTGATTCTTGAGTGCAGAGGCAGGAGGAACCCCTGAGCATCGCTGGGTGTGACCAAAAAGTAAACAACAAACAAACAAAAACAAAAAAAAAATCAACTCTATTAACTGACCACCTCAGGAAATATGGTACGTGGGACGTCACCACGAGTGCCCTGTCACCTCCTTGAACCGTTCCTAAAAGTAGAATTTCTCCCCCTAAAGCTTAATTCAGGCTGCAGTGACAGCACAGTGGGTAGGGTATTTGCCTTGCACGCGGCCGACCCAGGTTCGATTCCTCCGTTCCTCTCGGAGAGCCCAGCAAGCTACCGAGAGTATCCTGCCCGCATGGCAGAGCCTGGCAAGCTCCCCATGGCGGATTCTGTATGCCAAAAACAGTAACAACAAGTCTCACAAGGGAGACGTTACTGGTCACCGCTTGAGCAAATCGATGAACAATGGGAGGACAGTGCTACAGTGCCGTAGCTTACTTCATGGGATGAGAACCATAGAAAATAGTGAGAGCGTGAGCTAACAGGTTTGCAGGAAGTCTTCAGGTCAACAGCAGGCTGCTGCTGGTTGATTAAGATTTGGAGAGCTCAGAAGTCACCCACAGGTTACTGACTGCATGGGGGCCAGTGCCAGGAGCCTGTGACATCGCTAAGATGTCACCTGCGTTATTATTATCAGTCTCACCAGGCGAAAGAGGGGCAGAGCTGGGCCTTGGAAGTCTCCCAGCAGGGGAGAAAGAGGCACGAGCTTAATTCCACTCTGCTCCTTCTTGGTGCGTGATTCCCCAATTTATGGGGAGCCCCTGCTGATCAGCCAATACTGTGTCCCGAATATTCTGCAGGTGAGTGTTTATTTCCAGTCTTTGAAGCCTGGTATAAAGGACTGATTGGGAGCTCCTGGTTTGGTGCTCAGAAGGAGTCTCATTTGTCAGCATTGTGCAGCCAAATCCTTTGCAAATGAAGCCACTGAGGAGCCTAGCAAGGGAGTCAGGGAGGAGTCACTGAGATCTCCGGAGGCAGAGCGGTGAGCAGCCTCAGCTGCACTGAGCCCCACTAGCTGCGATGCGCCCCCTGGTGGTCTCTCTGGGAGATGCACCTCCTCCTGCTGTCTGTTCGGTCAGTAGTGAACAAAGCCCTCTAGTATCTCAGGTGTCCCATGACCCTCGCGACCCCACAGGAGGAGGAGATGGTGAAGTCCCTTCACCCCTGAGCACCCAGTGTGGGGTCCTCCGTTCCCGTGATGGTTAGGAGAGAGCTGGAAGGAGCTCTGAGAAGCGGGGAGCACAGCAGACAGATTTGTGCTGTATTTGTGCATTGTTTCAGGGCCAGGAGCATCCTCAGGGAACCAGGATGATTATTTGGGCTCAGGGGCCATGTCCAGTGGTACTCAGGGACTACTCAGGCTCTGTGCTCAGGACTCGCTCCCAGCAGGGCTCAGGGGACATGAGGTCCCAAGGACCGAATCTTTGCATTCATTTACTTATTGACAGGGGTGGGAATTGAACCCAGGGCCTGATACATGAAAAGCGAGTGCTCTGCTGCTGAGCAATAGCCCTGGCCTGCATCATGGAACCATGAAGGGACAACTGGAATCCTCTTCCCAGACCAAACCACCTCTGAAGGGAAACGTGTCACTCCCAGGTGTGACCTGACAGTTCTGGGAATGCTGAACCATCAGACCATTTATCTCTGACCTCCCTGCTCTAGGGACAGTGGGAATCTTGTTCATCCATTCATGCGCGTCACTAATTAGATGACGAGGCATTTGGCTACCTTAGGAGAGTCACAGTTACTCCTGTCGTTTACCTGTGCTTCACTGAATTTCTTCACTTCAACATTCAGAGCACTGGGCAGAAATCACATCGCGTCAACACCTGCCGCGGGCCTTCGGGATGCTTTGTTTTAATTAAACAGTCAGATTTCCCTGGTCTGCACCAGTTCTAAGTTGGCTGCTATGTGCAGGCTGAGGCGAGGCACCGCGCGGAACCACGGCCTGGGCACATATTCAATATGCCAAACACAGTAACAAGTCTCAAAATGGAGATGTTACTGGGCCCGCTAGAAATCGATGAACAATGGGAGGACAGTGACAGCGACTCCCTGCTCTAACCAGATCCACAGCAGTGTGTGTGTATGTGTGTGTGTGTGTGTGTGTGTGTGTGTGTGTGTGTGCGTATGTTGGGGTTGGGGGGGAGGGATTTAGGGACGGTCTGGCCACACCTGGCCACACATGCAGTACTCAGGGCTGACTCCTGCATCTGTGTATCTGTGTTCAGAGGTCATGACTGGTAGGGACCATAAGCAGTACCAGGAATTGAACTGGGGCTGGGCGCATGCAAGGCTAACACTTATCCCAGTACTAACCCTCCACCCTAACAGCCTTATGACTATCATTCACTTCCCATGATCAGGGGCCCAGAAAATAACTTACTGGCCAGGTCAATCAGAATGTTATCTCTTAGTGATATGGGTATTTCTCAACCAACACTTTATTTACCTTATCACTGTAGCACTGTCTCCCATTGGTCACCGATTTGCTCGAGCAGGTCCAGTAATGTCTCCATTGTGAGACCTGTTATCTACCTTAGTGATCTAATTTGGTGATTTTGCAATAAAACTGTCCCTTAAAATTTGGGTGGGGCTGGAGTGATTGTATAATGAGTGTCATTTGCCTTGCGTGCAGCTCACCTGGGCAAGTAATCCCTGAGCACAGAGCCTGGAGTGATCCCTGGGAACAGAGCCAGAAATAACCCCTGGGCACAGAGCCAGGACTAAATTCTGAGATCTGAGCCCCCTCCCCCCAAAAAATTGTGTTTTTTTTTTGTTCTTTAAACACATATACAAAATTAAATAGGAAGCATGTTCCTATCAAAAAAGCATTCTGTTTATAAATTTGATGCAGTTAAGTACTCTATATGTATATGTGAAGCCAGAGAAGGATACGGTTACTGTGCTTTATTTATTATCATTATTATTATTATTGTTATTATTTTGCTTTTAGGGCCACACCCAGTGATGCACAGAGGTTACTCCTGGCTCATGCACTAAGGAATTACTCCTGGCGGTTCTTGGGGGAACCATATGGGATGCTGGGAATTGAACCTGGGCCGGCCGCGTGCAAGGCAAATGCCCGAGTAGCTGTGCTATTGCTCCAGCCCCCAATTTTATTATTATTATTTTTTATTATATTATCACTGTGAGATACAGATGCAAGGTTGTTGTACAAACCATGACTACGGATTCAGCACTGCAGCACTATTCACAACAGCAAGAATCTGGAAACAATCCGAGTGCTCGAGAACAGATGACTGGATAAAGAAAATATGGCCCATCTACACACTGGAATACTACACAGCCACGTAGTAATTTTCCATGTAGGAAAAATGAAGTCAGGAAATTTGTTTGTCGATAGATGGAGAGTGTCATGCTGAGGAAAAGGAAAAGGAGAGAGACAGTCATAGAATGATTGCACTCATGTGTTGGATATAAAAAAAAGTGTATAATATTAGACTAATACTCATGGACAGTAAAAACAAGGGCCAACAAGGACTGATCCATGGATGGAAACTTGCCACAAGTGGCAGGGCAGGGGAAGGGCAGTTAGGACAGAGAAGGGACCAGTATGACAATGATTTTGGAAGTGATCACTCTGGATAAGAACTGAGTGCTGAAAGGAGGTAACCTCTCAGTCCCTGCATTGCAAACCATAATGCAAAAAGAGAGAAAGAGAGAGAGAGACAGAGAGAGACAGAGAGACAGAGACAAGACAGTGAAGAAAAGTACCTGCCCTGGAGGCATGCTGTGGGTTACTGTTTGAGGTTGACCTGCCTGCCTGCCAGGACAAGGGGTGAAACTGGAGGTACAAAGCAGATACAGAGACACCCAGCAGCTGGAACCTCAGGGCAATGATGACTCTGAGTGGGTTCTGCTCAGGCTAAGTCAGGTGGATGTGACAAAGGCACAGGTAGGCGCCTGTCATTTCCAACAGCCATGACTTAGATGCAGAGAGAGAGATAAATGACTGCTTCATGTGCTGGAAAACACCTGACATTTTAATTTCCTTTCCCACTCTCCTCTGAAATGAAACCTAAGTTATTAAAGTGAAAACAAACCCCTAATAACATGGAGCCTCAAGAAAGGTATAATAGGGGCTGGATCGATAGCACAGTAGGTAGGGCATTTGCCTTGCACATGGCCAACCTGGGTTCAAATCCCAGCATCCCATATGGTCCCCTGAGCACCGCCAGGAATTCCTGAGTGCAGAGCCAGGAGTTTTCCCTGTGCATCACCGGGTGTGACCCAAAAAGCAAAAAAAGAAAAAAAAGAGAAAGGAATAATAAACTAAGAGCGAGGAAATCATAGAAAATAAAAAATCAAATGGAAATCCCATTGGTCCAACACCTCAGACCAAAGAATCTGTAACTGCATATCCATGAATGAGACAACCAAGAAAATGACAACACTCTGCCACCCATTATCTTTTGTCCTAAGATAATGTGTCTC